TGGAAGAAGTTTTGGAGAAATCAAAGCTTTGCTTTGGGATTTTTAAAACAAAGCATTTCAGAACGTTAGTTCATAACAAGTTTAAACAACCAGTAAGCCTTTTCACAAGTAGAAGAACCCTAAAATCCTCCTCTCAAATATTTTTTTTCCGGATGAGGGGAAGTGGGAAGAAATGACAGAAAAGGCTAAAAGAGAAATGCTAAACCTTTTTGTGTCAGACCAATATTGTTAGCCTGTTTTTTTTTTTTTATGGCCATAAAAGTTACAAAGGAAGCGTGGCCAGGGACACGCTCAGGTGATGGAAGTTGCAGTCAATCTTACCGCAGGGCTGTTAGAGCATGGACAGCTCCTGCTGCACGAGATTTCCACAGGGTTTCAGGCTTCCCATCCGAGTAAAGCGCAGCCCACCTGGGCTGGGGACAGGGAGCGACCAGTGACTGGGAGTTCATTTCTTCAGAGGATGAAACAGCCTCGGATGTTTAAAGATGTTTGAAGAAGTGGCTCACATTCGCCTACATCTTCTGCAACGTGTTCCTGGCTGCTGCAAGCCTCCATGCTTATGGATAAAATTGTGGCACCTTCCTAAGAATTCACTTGGAGATACGTGTTACCCAGCAAGGTACAGGAGACCCCGACAGCTTGCCTTTTAGCAACAGTGTGCTTGATATGTTCTCTATTTTAAAGGAAAATTTAATGCTGATTTGAAAACACTAGTGTATTCCCTCAGTCCCCTGGATTCAATTAACATGACAGGTGGGAAATCAAGATATTGTGGCAATTATTCTTCCGTCTCGAAATCAAGTACCAATTTATATCCCAAGTGTCTCAAATATTGATGTGCTAATTTATAGCATCTTTGAATGCTTTTTCATACGAGTTAAAAATTCAGGAAGAGCCTAATCTTGTCAGTCCTTGAGATTTGCAGCGAAAGGCGAAACTTGCTCAGCTCAAAGCCAGCCCCGTGACTGCACGTGACTGTTTAAGTAGCGGAGCTCCCATCCGTGTTTTGGTAACGCTTTTCATGTTGTCACCATGAAAGACAGTAAAGGTGCTACAACAGCGGGACTTGCAGGTTTAAATTCTTACCATTCGTGGAAAGTGAAACTTCAGGTCCTTCCTCTGCAGCTGCCGCTTTTAGTTCTTCCTGCATCTAGACACCAGCCAGGGTTTTGCAAATTAGCAGCAAAGCCAGGTCTGCACAAACTTGCCTATCACAGTCAAACAAGGCACACAACACTACAAGGCACATTTTAGAAAATGCTTAGTATTTTTTATATTTATCTGGAAGTAAATAAATACAGCTTTTTGTTTCCTGGAACCCCTTTTTTAAAAAAAAAAAAAATAATTAGTCTGAACTACTGTTCTTTAATTGCACTTATTATTTCAGTAGCAGCAGTCCAAATTCTTCTCTGCTGTGATGCTTTTGCTATCCAAGGACTAGGTAAAATGCTGAGTATATTACTCATTATTATTTGCACTTTGATAATGTGGGATCATCGCACGCTGTGCTAGACACTCTACGCACACGGAGATGCACAGGCGGTTCCTGCTCTGCAGAACTCGTATTTGTGAGCCTCGTGCTGCATCCTTTCCTGTTTATCTTCTGGTTTTAGGAACTTTTGCTCTTGCACAATTCATCCTACATATCTAAAGCCTCATGTACCTTTTTAGTGGTTAAATATATTGCAAGCAGGAGGCAAGCAAGTTGGCTATGAGCACATTTCAAGCTGCTTTCTCTCTGATGACCTTCTTTCATGCTCTTTCATCTCTAAATTTAGCTGGCCACTGAAGGGGGAGTCTAGCAGGTTCAGTGACACAGGAAATACTAACGCAGAAACTGTGTGTAATCATTCTTCAAAGCACAGCACCCATTACGAGACAGCACGATTGCCATCCTGTAGCCAAGTGAGGTTTATTTTATGAAATGGCAGCCTTCCGAGCCTAATAAACCATATTAGACCTTCCCTCATGACCAACACATGCATCACAAGAGCAAAGGCATTTCTTAAGGGCTGAAACCCAGAAGTTGGAAATCTGCTCAAGCTACTGTTGCTGTGTCCACATTTGAGCAGCTGATGTTACAGCTGCCAGGCACAGGCACAGCACAGACCTTAAATATGAAGTTTGATCTTTTTAATAGCTGCCTCGGCGCTATCTAGAGAGGAGAATGTGCTGCAGAACCACAGAAAATGTTCAAGAATATGAAATGAAGTGTTGAGGATTAGAAAAGCATTGTAAAAATCCCAGGAGTGTGACTGGGACAGGATGATGTAACTATACCAAACAGGAGGAAACTGCAGGAAAGTTATAGTGCTTCAAATTTTAGCTTGACTCTTGCAGATACAACAGCTATGGTAAGACAGGAAAAGTTCTGTGTTGCTTTGGTGAGCCCAGTAGCCAGTAATTTGATTTCCTGTTTCAAATACATAAAATCTGACTGAGATAATAACAATATATATGTGATAACATGGCGTTCAAGTTTTTAAATATCGTTGTTTCCAGAAATTAGATTTCCAATATTCTAGTCAAAGAAAATCCACCTTCTGAGGAAGCAGCACAAACACAGCTCAGCAGATTTGTTAATTCTTTCTTTAATAAAGCGGGCTAGATGCTCTTCCAGAGTAAAGATACAAAGTTCCACGACTACATGAATACCCAGTCAAAATATGACACTGCCTTTCTGCAGTACATACAACTGACATGACATGCAAGAGATCTGAAACAGTCATAACTTCAGATATGAGATCTGGTACAACAGTCTCAGATACATATCTTTTATCCCACTTTAGTTTTCGTCAGTAATTTCCATAGTACATAATTTTCTATCACGTTATTTTCATCCATGAACGTTATGAGCAGGCCGTATTTAAAGAAAAAGAATAATTTTGTATTTGAAGTGAGAATTTCTTTCTTGGTTTACTCCTATCAGAAGGTAAGACAGGGTGATGATTTGACATTTTGTACAACTTACAGGTTTCTGGCTTAATGGCTGTATAAAATTTTAACTATCTTCCCAGTATGACCAAGTACCAGAGACTACATATTTGAGATGTAGAAGGACATGGTTAAACCAAAGTGGATTAGTCTATTGCAATTCACTCTTATCTCATTCATATAATCACCTCCCTTTTCCTGAGGATTTTAGCATATTCCACGGCATGATAGGCATTCAGCTCATTGGTATTCACTGAACAGTGAAAACTTGTTAGAAACTCCACAATTTTTTATACTTTAAGCACTGCTTTAAAATATGTAATATTAAAGATACAACTAACTTACAAAAATAAAAGAACTGTACAAATCACACTTTCATTGGCAATGAGACTGCTCAAGAAAATTGCAACATGATCCCTGAAAAAAAACACCAGAACAGATATCGGAAGAATGATTCTTAAAAAAATAAAAAAGTAAAAACGTTTCCCCCTGCCAAAGTACTGGAGTCTTTGAAGGCTTACGTATCACAGGATATAAAACTTCTCTTTTCCCTCTGTCTCCATAATGTTTCTTCTCTCTTTCCATAGGCAGTTCTTCAACAGGTTGCTGTTGATGTGGCACAAGCCTTGCTGAATGGGTTAAGGTTAGAGAAGCTCGAAGGATCTAAATAAATCAATAGCCACTGATTTAATCCCCTGGTGTTCATGCAAGCTCAAGGAAATAAAACAAACCCGAAGACAGGCATGCATGTTGAATTCTGAACTGACTTTCTAGCAAGCTTAAAGCTAAAGCAAAATAAACACCTCTCCAAATTGTTATGCATTGCAATCTCTCATCCAAATAAAGAGCCATCTGACTGCTCCTATCAGCCTGCCCCACAGCTGCGCGGTGCTCTGCCTGCTCATAACATTCTGATATTTTTGTCATTTGACAAGGCACATACAATCTCAGAAGAATTACATGGTGGCTTTTCAATGTGCAAGGGTATGGCAGCTACTATGCAATTACAGCACAATTACCTCTTCATTTCAGTCACTGACACTCAGACCTTGTAAAATCTAGGACCAGCAGACTACATGTCACCTCATTTTGGAATACTTAACTCCATTTACAATTACAGACTAATCAGCAAATAACTACCATTTATTAATTGCCTATTAACATAAGCTTTGCCATGCAATTACAAAGTTATTGCATGGTATACTGTATATGTACCATAAAATTAAATAATACTTTTTTTTTTTTGCTGTTGTTTATAGAGTAATTTTATAACATTCTTTCATAGGGATAGTTCTATGTAGGTCCAGAAAGAACAGTTCATCAGTTTATTTTTGTGAATTCCAAAAGAGTTTAAAGGGATCAGCAAGTTTAAAAAAAAAAGAAAAACAAAAAACCCCTTATCATCTACTTGAAATAAGATTACTAGATGTACTGTGTACTTGATGTGAAATATACGTTTCCACACGAGTACAAGTCACAAAGTTCATCAGAAAATCTGGTGGTTAACATTGTTGCTCCATTTGCTTTTTTCGTATTTACTAGAAATGCAGACATCGTATAGACATATTTGTAAGCAGAATCTACAGATAAGGTAATGGGACATAAAGTGCTTTTAATTATGAACATTTCCAATCTCTTTGCACCCTTCCCTGGTAAGTTATCATACGCAAGGTAGTTTTAGTTCAACCGGCCCAGGTCTGTACTACCAGATACTGTAATTTCCCTTGTACCTACTGTTTTGACCACAGTGATCTCAGTCAAACCAAAACTAATTCATGCCAAGGAGAATAAAAGTAGTCAGACATAACGAGGGGAAGAGGTGCACTGAAACTTCCGAGGGAAAAAAAGGAGCAGGCAGAGGGAAATTAGGCTCCACTGTATAGGTCCCCAAGGAATTTGTAACAGATACTACTTTAGCACAATGTTGAGGAACAACTGAAAATGGAACACAAACCTGTGCCTCTAACACATCTCAAGTCACTTGTCAGATGAAAATGAGGAAATTGTTAGTTCTCAGCTGAGGATCAGCCTGGTGTCAGGATGATGCTTTTATTCTGATGCATCCCCCAGTTTTGCTAAGCTCAGTCTCTGAGCAGATAGTACCCTTTTCCCCTCAGAAAACCCAGTCTGGCATATTTTGTAAATGGAAGTTATTAACTCTGCTCGCCTTTGCCACTTCAGGACTGGTGCCAAGTATCTAAGTATTTCCTAATCCATTACAGTACTCAGCACATACTATTCTATGTACCAGGAAAGCAACAGATCTATGGTAATAAAGCTCCTAAGATAATTCTAAAACTAAGTATAAATGTATATTAGACCTGGGGTTTACTGGATTTTTATTTAAGGCAATCATTAAAAGGTTTGCATTCTTTTGATGAGTTGCAACCAAATTTATTTATTTATCTTAATTGAGGCTTTTGGGAGCTGAAATAGGTTACCTTTATCTACTGCCTGCCTTTCCAATCCAAAGAATCATCCAGCCCCTGGAATCAAAGCAATTTGAGCTGAGGTGACAACTGACCTCACCACCTGTCCCAGCCTGTTTCTTTAGAGGTCCAGGGGGCTGACAATAGTAAAATCAGAATCTTTGCTGTTATTACTACTGTCATCATCAGGGCTGGAGCTCAGGTTGCTGGAGGAGGCCGAGATGGAGCCCATCAGCGGGTCGGAGAATATCAAAGAAGAACGAGACGGAGCTTCCTGCTTCGCTGGTGCCTCCTTGTGTGTCAGAAGGGCCTGCGCTGGCTCCTGGGCACTGCTTTTAGTTCCTTCCTCTTCTTTGGAAACCAGAATATAGTCATCAGCACTCTTAGTTTCACTGGTGCTTGAGCCAGGTGTAGCCTGTAAGAAAGGAGTACAGCAAGAAGTCAACGTTAGTACCACTTTTACCATTTAAAAAGGCTTATGACACACACAGGTAATTCTGGGCATGGGATCTAGGAATGATCACAATCTAAAAGTAGCATAGCAAGAAGTAAAAAGTAAAGTAGGTATTAACTTCAGATGAAATAATTTATTTGTTATTTACAAAACTAGACAAGCTAGCATGCCAGAAATAAATACATTCTCGAGCATAGGGGTCTTACAGGCTTCATTACTAGTACTTCCATGTAGTGACTGTGGTGGCTGGGCATCTAACACACACATTTCAGTTGTGAAGATTTTAGGTATTACACTGTTGTCTCTATAGCCATTCAGTAAGGAGTATTACAGAACATTTTGCTGGTTTCCACGCAGAAGGGCATTTTGCAGTTCTCCTGGAGAACGGCTTGGTACAGAATTTCCTAATAAAACTCTGATCTGTGGAACTGCAGCTGTGCATACGTCTAGCTCAGTGTGCAACAGTTTGGGCTGTGCCAACTAAAGCCCCAGGGTGTCTAGACTCAGCACGGGGGGCAAGGGGCTGAGCACTTCTGATTTCACCTAAAATAGGCTCCAGGAGGCTCTCAATAGGCTCTCCCTGGTTCAGCCTCAGGTATGTGCACCCCTGAGGTGCCTCTGAGTGGGCAAAACTGCATGTCAGAGTAGCAATGAATTCTCTAGGAACTGGGAATCTTATATTTAGATTAACTGTATTCAGGAGAAGTCCAGGTTGTCAACATAAGGAGCAAAATGTAATTAGAAGGCAGTACTGTCCTGTTCATTACAGCAGCCATTCTATCTTGCTGACAGAACAGGCAGCTGACATGCAACCCCGAAGGACAACTTCTATTTTCTTCTGCAGATGGAGATGGGTTCGTTTCCTGCACAGCACTACTGAAACCAGTATATGTGATTACACTAATGCAAGACAGAAAGGGGAGACAAACTTGGGGGTCAGCTGGAGAAACGTGTGTGTCACATGTACGTCAAATACAAGCCTTTCAGCTGTGACTCCCTCACCAAACAAAAAATGTTAATTCTCTTTGGAGGAAGAGAGATGGCAGGTATTAGTCAGAAAGAAAAGGGAGCATTAGCAAAAAAAGAGAAGCGTAAGAGTGTGGATAAAGTTAGTCCCCCAGCACAGTACATAAAATTATGTAGGTCATCACAGGTACTACTAAGAGCAACTTGGATTTAAGCTGTTCATGGCCTCCAGCAAGGTTTTTAAATACATAAATACATAGAAAACTATTCTCCATTGCCTAGATTACTGATTAAAGAGCAGAGTATTTTTGAAAGGGGTCTGTAGAGTTGCTTGGGGAGGAAAACCCACTAGCCATTAAGAGCAAACTGTAGTAGGAAATGAGAGCTGAAAGTTTTTGGCTACTATTTACATAGTTCCAAATTGCTAAAGGCCACAACATAAATACCAGAATGTGAAAGTGCATTCAAATACAGAACTGTGACTTGCTTTCTTAAAAAAAAACACATATGGATAGGAATTCAGATATTTCCAATGCAGTCAATTTTAAAATATCCTGTTTAAATTTTTTTTCATGTTATCTAGATGTTACCTAAATATAATATCTATTATTGTCTTTTGTAAATAACACATTCTAGCGTTTTCTTTAAATAAAAGGGAAATAATCTGAAGTTTGGAGCACTGGTTACAATCTGAAAGGGCCCAACAAGCATTTGTCAGACTGATGCCAATTTTACATGTTATTCCCCAATACTTACTCATCTTCCTCAAAAGACTTGATAGAATTCACATAAACATTAACAAGCAGATTAATTTAAAAAATATAATGAACTGTCCATACGGAATGCTATTAAAACTAAGCTCCATCTTATAGTGTATAGAAGCACGTAGTTCAAAAGTGAGCAAACAACTTTAATTACTTACCATGAAGCTAAAACCAAACAGATTTACCCTGCCAGGAGAGACGCTTCACTGTTGAAGCACTTCTGATCTAAGACACCATTCGTTATTAATTAGTGCTTTGCTTTCATGTGGTCTGTTTGAATTAGTGTCCTCGTTAGCTGTCAGCTCAGCCAGGCCGCGGGGCCCAGCCGACACAGGCCGCTCCGGCTCCGGCTCCGGCTCCGCTCCAGCCCCGCGCTGAGGCGCCGCTCATGGATTTGGGGGCCAGGCCTGGCCGCTGGGGCTCTTCTGGGAGCTCCAGATACCCCTTCAAAACTCCCCTGATTTCTTTTCCCTCCTTTAAGCAACAACTGTTGACTTAGTTCACCTGGCTTCTCTTCATGCTTCCGTTTCAAAGCTCTGGATGAACACAATGCAGTCTTCTTCTGCAAGGTTAAACGCTTGGTTATTCCAAGCTATTTCCACTCTCACAACCTTCCCATTCAAGAGAGATTCACTCCTCACAAGGAGACAAAAGCAGTAGCCAGCAGCTCCCTCCCCTAATGCGGCCAGTGTCTGCCCGCTGCCATGGCCAACAACGGCCAAGAGGTTGACTGCCTTCTGGCAGTGAACCCAGCCAGAGCCCATCTTCATTAATACTCTGTGCTTCAGTTGCAAATTTCTAAATTCTGCTTCAAGAAATGTGCTTTTGCATAGTTAAAAAAAAGAGAAAAACCCTGCTTTTTAATATGGGGGAAAAAAAACAAACCTCATCCCAATTTCTTTTCATTAGTACTGTGCTTTGGAACAGTACATTAGTACTGTGCTTTCATTTTTTTTTGTTCTACCCATATTTTTGGCTGTGGATTAAGGAGAACTATATCTCACTGAAGTATCAGAAAAGCAGCAAAGTACTTCTTTTACATTGACACCAAAATGATACAAAAGGGCTCACTGTGAATGTTTGCCTACCCCTAGAGTACACTGGTATTTTGGTGGTGATATTTCCAGAGGTAAAATAACTCCCCCTTCTTGTTCTGCCCTGTTTCTGTTTCAGGAAACTCATGCTGACGTGAACCATGTTTTCTCCCATCTGCTGCCACTACTGAATAAATGAAAAATGACAGAATTATACTTCCAGTAGCTCTGAAAGTTAACAACCTTACGCCCGTTGCCATATGGCTTCTCCAAACAGTTTTTCCTGATGAATATCAGCGACTAGTACCAGGCTTATTTCAATTGCCTTCATACTGTGAATGAGTTAAAACTTGCTGCAACAACACAATTCAAGTAAGCTTCGAGGAACAGCAGCTCATTTTGGTTCCTTCTTTGAATCGACATAAAGGCAAGATAATGCGTTAATTATCATTCATTATTTAGCAACAGAAGCCTTCTGTTTGTCAACTGTGCACTGCTACCAAAGACAAACATTCCAACAAAGCCTCTGCTTCCTTGAGCCTTTCGCTTATTTTATCGCATTTTTAGCTCTCCTCTTTGCAAATAAGCACTGTACCTTTATCCTCACTTTCTGGAAAAGGACACTGAGGCAAAAAAAAGAAAAAAAAAGGGGGGTTGGGGAAGAAGACTTTTAAAATAAATTAATAATGATAAATAACTTGTATTTATATCACAAGCAACGCAAAAGACCAGATTTCAGGTTCGATTACAACACAGTAAATCACCCCTAACTTTTTCGGTGGTCCTAGAAATCTACCTATAATTGCACCAGAGCAGAATTTCTATTACACAAGGCATATTAAACAGGATTACACACACAAGCAAAGTCACAAGATATGTAAATACAGTGAAGTTTATTTAGCGAGAAATATATTAAAGAGGCTAGAAGTGGCTAGAATTTTTTAAGCCTCCTACAGCTCCCAGCGTGACCCTGAGGCATCAGGACAACCCATTTTCCTCATTAGAAAAAGGCTGGGCAGGGGCCCAATTTGGTGGAAACTGCTCCCCTCCCAACACTAAGCAGTCTCACTTCACAGCCTACTAAACTTAGCCATTTTATCTTCCTTTTTATTAAAAGGTGTTGTGAAAGCTGTTCTTTTTTCCTCTCATTTTAAAGAATGCCCTTAAACAACCTGGGCTCAGACACAGCGCAGAGCAGAGGGATGCTCACCCTCCTCCTGGACCTTAATGCTGCTCCCCACAAGGAGCCTAATCTTGTATTTTTCTTTCTGTAATAGTCTGTTGCTCATTATCATAATTGGGACTTGCAGAAGATAAGATTAGAGAAGGCAAATCTTATCTTCTGCATGTGTATATAACTGCAAACATCAACCACGCAGTGCTGAAGCCTCACTGAGTTCTGAGCTAGCTCAGATCCTACAGCCTTCACTCACATTGCTCAGAGCTCCTGCATTATCGCTGTCATCACAGGGTCCATCTAAATTGTGGGAGCCCTGAATCCATCTGTGGGTGAATATTCTGGCTCCAAACTGGGGTGAGACCTCATTACACCCTGCCATTCCGGTTGCCACTGGAAGGAAATCCGCATGGGCAGGAAGGGAGTTGGGCCCCTCCTGCTCCCCTCCCAATGCGCCGTGTCCTCCAGCCCGTCTGCTCAGCGACATGTAGCCCAGCACGTGAATAAGGGCTTCTTCTGCACAAGGAAGGTTTGCACACCCTCGTACGCCAGGTCGTTTTATACTACATGCTACCTTTCAGCTGCTGTAATGCTCCACTCAAAACTGCCAAAAAAGTGCTATGTGTCATTTTGGCATGAAAGACATTTCTGTATGAAATGCGGGCAGATAAAAGGAGGAGGTCATTACAGGAACACTCTAAATATGCTACGATTAGAGTTTAACCTATGCTTTTAATATGGCAGAGGCTACTGACTGTAATGATGACGAAAGCCAAAGGAGCAACTACGTTCTAGCTAAACTTGTCTCTTTGAACCTGTAATTCCTATTTAAAATAAGAAATTGAAATACAATCAAAATATCATTTTTAACATAAAATGTTCTAACTTGGGGGATGGTGTATAATAAATCAAAACAATCTATGTCACTACTTTAAAATCAACAAATATTTCTTCTCTTTGCTAAGTAAATTTCTCAAGAGAAAACTGATTGAAGACTCAGACTGAAATGTGTTGTCACTGATTTTCACTGAAATATGAATATTAGCATTGACACGGCAGACAACGCTGAAACTTTAATATTGAGAAGTATATAAAAAGGTGCATATAAAAAGTTATTTGTTTTTAAGAACATACCCGATGTGATCTGAGTCTTAGACAGAGAGGCATTTATGCATTCCTTTCAACATGAGGCAAAGAGTCTCTCTGTGTGTGCCCTGTAACTGTAAGTTTTGTATGTGAAAACTGTGTTTACTGAATCAAGAAGACAATACAAAGAACTCTTAGCAAGGAAATGGAGCAGAAGGTAAAAGTAACCTCCTAGCTATTTCCTTTTTGGCACTTAACGTGGATGCACTGCAGTGCAGATAATCAGCTGTTACATAATGCAACCATAGAGGACAAACAAGGAGCAGAATCAACGGATATAGCAATATTTACCTCCAGTTTTTGCATCTTTTTATGTGTAAGTGACTAGTTAAGAAGCATTCAATGTTTGGAAAACAAATGAGCAAACAAAACTTCCGCAAACACTTTATAAAACTTTAACTCAATCACTCGTGTGGGGAGCATAAGCTTCCACTAACGAAATCAGTGGGAGCAGGACAGTAGTCAGACAGGAAATTGTGAGCACAGCTCTACGCGCAGCAGCATTCCTGGGTTTCTGTTGGGAATTTGAGTGCTCTCGTGGCAAACCACTTAGGAAGACACAAGTTTTGCTTCTGTTTGAACCCTGCTTTTCTACAGAAGAGGTGTGCTGCAACTGGTGTATTTCTGTGTAATGTTTGGATGTGTCAAAGAAAGTCTGCAAAAATGTAAGACTAATTTCATCAATGGCCTGTTGGAAATATCTGTAACTTACCTGAAGTCCTGGGACGCACTGTTGCTTTGTCATAACAGATCCCTTCAGGCCATCACTCGTCCCCTTGTTCTGGTTGTTGGAGCAGTAGTGGTCATCTGAGATCGTGATTTGCTCATTTTCTTCAGCTTCCAGTTGGCTCTGGTTGAAACGCAGGGAACCTTTCAGAATATCCTTGATCTGTTGTTGAATGGGAGGGGAGGGAATGCAAGTTAGAAACCTGGAGCAATTCTAAAATTTTCTGAACCTCACTGCAGAAGGCTTTCACACACCATTTCCCCATAATATATGTTTGAAAAGGCAGTTGAAAAGTCAATATTATTGCCTATATTAGATGTAAAATGTGTAATGCGATTGTATCAGATTCTGGAAAACAATTATCCAATATCTAATAAAGTTAAGAAGAATGAAAACACTAAGATTTTTCCCAGTATCACACTTAACATCACGTTTGTTCCTGATAAAATGTATTTCATGGCTCAGCTTGGTAGCATGTTCATTTTAAATACATAATACTATTCCTTTATACTTAATGACATTCAAGTGTCATTACATTTAAAAAAATGTGGTCAGAAGCATGTAGTACATGCTTAGTATGAACAATTTGCATCAAGAAAAATGATGGGATGGTTAATGCCCCAGAACTTGGAACTGCAGTGCCTCAGTTCTACTTTGATTTTGTCACAATTTTTCAGGAAGAAAATGTGCAAGTCATCTTAACTTCTTACAGCTTAGTTGTATCTTCTAAATAGAAGTACTATGCAGTGCTCAATACAATAGCATTTGTAAAACAGCTAAACAGAAGTTAACCAATATATACCTGTTTCAAACCAGCTAGGGAAACCAGAATTTCATCTTCTTTTTCCAGGTGTTCTTGTAATATAACTTCCTGAATATTTCCTGCAACACCAAAACAAGAGAGACTTGCTGAGTAATCTGCCAATTTAAGAGTTGACTAGTGTTCTCAGAACCCAATCCTGTGGCTTGCAAAAGCGTTTTCACACACCGGCCTATATGGTGACAACTTCACTAGCTGTGATGGTTAGGGAAGTCAAAGGCTGTCACTGACGTCAAGACTCCTAATAACGTCCAGCAGCTGCTGGATTTCCATGACCCGAATGCACCAATGGACCCTTGCTCTAGTGGTGCCTAGAAAACAACTTGGTTTCTGTGGCTCACAGAGTTGCATCCATGTTTGACTCTTCAAATGCTTTGGAAGCTCTCAAGAACATTTACAGGAATCTGCTAAGTTCTTGGGATGGGTTAAGTAGGAGCTCAGCAGTTCTAGATCCTGTGGCCACTGCAGATGCTCTTGTTTTATGTCGCAAGACTGAAAATACTGTACTTTATTGTTCCTTATCTGACCCTCTTTGTACTAGGTAGGGTGGATCCAAATCTCATGTGTGACAAAAAGCACAGTACAGTACTGGCACTTCAGAAGACCCCTGTCTTCCAGACCTATAGAGTTGTCCTGCCAGGCTGCACTTCAGTAACTGCGTATGGTGCTGAGGGCAGGGTTGGAGGCTGCAGGGACCACGCTGTGACACACTGTGTCCTGAAAACCCCAGGCAATGCTGCAGACCAAACAGCCCACAGCTCAGATAGCTCTGCAGACTCTTTAAGCCATGTCAGGTCCTTCACCAGACTCCCAACTCCTCCCTTCCTCCTCAGATCTCTGAGAAACTGCGGAGATTCTCAGCAACTGATTTACAGACCAAGATAGTATCTGTCACCTGAAGATGACAGGATATGCCTCTCTTACTTGCATAGTGTCAGTGCAAATCCTCCAGTGACACTCACCTGGGAGCAGCCTTGCTGCTCTGAATTGCAGCATCCCAGGTGCTGAACAATTTGAGCTTTGTATCCTTAATCCCAGCGAGCGTTGCCTTTGTTTGCTTTGAAACACATCCTGCCTGCTGAGGGACCAAACCAGCGAAAAGCCAAAACACTGTCCCAGATTATGCTGACAAGGATGAACATGATGCTGCTGGCAACTCTGACACAACACCGGGTTTCAAGGAAAAATATTGAGCAACTTGGCTTAAGTTTTGTGTTTACAGAATAAATAGCTAAAGCATGAGATGAAGGAGGCTGGATAAGGAGGAGAGAGATTACAAGGAGAAATGTGCATTTAAAATTTACATATAGAGACAGAAGTTTGAAATTATGGGTGAGCAAGAAAATCTGTAGTTGGCAAAAATGAAGAACAGAAAGGGCAAAGAAGGGATAGGATCCAAGACTAAATAAGAGAATAAAAGAGGTTAGAGCCACAAAGTGCAGTAGAAGATGACAGTTCAGGAATGAACTAAGTGTGATCAAGGTCAAGGGCAACGATGGGGTATGATGGCTCAGTTTTGCGTTAGCAGCCTATCTAAACAAGGAGAGCCAAGTTTACATTATTTAGCACTTCTACCACAAAACAGCAGCAGTACCCAGCAGGAGGGAGGTCAAACCTGGTACACTTGAACAATGTGAAGTCCAATTCTTATAAGACAAGCTATCTCATAAAGACACTATATTTAGAAGGCTAGAAATAACGTAAGACTTTTTTTTTTTTTTTTACAAGTATGTAGCATCATGAATTGACTGCAAGCAAAAATAATCCACTATTTTATTTATTGTATCTTACATCTCAATTGTCTAGTCTCTCAGTTTGCTAAATAAAAGATAATAGTATTTGCTGGCAAATATTAAAATGTGTTCCTTACATAACTACTATGTTAAATCTTGACTTCCACTGTTTAACAAGCAGTGCATAATTTTCTACTTCTTTCAGATTTTTGAACATCAGAAGTCCAAAGTCCAAGTCCTCTTGCGCAGGTAAACAATGTTTAACCACAGCCTGAGTCATTGAATTCAACTGTCTTTTTCATTCTCAGCCTTAAAAGAATTGCTATGGTGTTTGATCTCTACATATATTAAAAACATGCATTAAAAACTCAGGTATGCGTAAGCAGATGGAGCAAGAAAATAATTCAGAACTAGCTTCTAATCTATTAAAGACCAAATGTTGGAAACTTGAACTATCAAGAAAGAAAAAACAAAGCAAAAGCTGAAAGTCATTCTATGTGATACAGAAATAATCTACTATTATTTTTCTTCTTTATAGATGTATTTTTAAGACAGTATTTCAGAAGAATGAAAAAGAAAACATTATTTTTATATAAAAAAGCTGCAACTATGTTTGAAAAGCAAACAGAGAAATTGAGAATTTTCTAACAACTTATAAATAGAACCACGATAGTCAGCAGTAAATATTAATAAGAATGTTAATATCATCACATTTACCTTAGCAAGATTAATTGCAGATTTTAACATTAGTGTCAGCAAAAAAAAGACTAAGAGAAAAGGCTGGAAATACATACACTAAGATTTATAAACATTAACTCAGCTGATTTGCTAAAGCTGTTGCTTGAATTTGCAGTTTGTTTTAATATGCAGCATGGCATATCTTGGGTTATGTATTGTTTATTGTTTTTAATTAGCTAAAATGATTACTATATGTATTTTTCTTTCAAAAAAACATCACTTGTTTTGCTCTAAAAGACCATTCTGAACTCAAGGAACACACTTCCTTTTTACACTGAAAAAAAAGTGCTAAGATGCAAATCACTATAATCTGAAAGTTTTACCTCTCAAATGTGTTTCTTTCAGTACTACAAGGAAAGATAATGAAAGTTTCCCTATGGATATTCAGAATGGATTTTGCTGCTTTGAGGTGTGCTCTTGAAGTGTAAAAGGCTTCTAATCTACTACTGTCACCACTCTTGAATGCAGAATTTATTGCCTACCAAATAGATGGTAATGTGGAGCCCAAATTTATCAGTGCTCACCCTCTTTCTCTCCAGCTACCGAGAGGAATAAAAATTCTGTCCTAGAATTTTCTGAGAAAGTTATGTGTATCCACAAACGACCTATACACTGATTTTTTCCCTGCTGTTTTCCTTATCTGATTGTCTACAATAAAACCTCACGGTTTTAATTAATCCTTTTAATTTAACAACTCCTTGAAAAAAATAATGCAGATATTGACTAGGAACTGAGAACATCTTCCTACCTGCAAAACAAACCCTGACACGATGAATCAAAAAAATGGATTATGTATGTGACTTTTAGAGTATTCAAAACCCAATTCAATCTGACTCCATGCTGTAAATACCCATCTTACTAAGACAGCTGTTTTCATTCAAAATTCATTGTCAAATGAACATATTCCTTTACATTTGACAGATCTTGGAACCATTAATCAATAACTATTTCCCGATTAATACTGAGATAGGCAGCCCAGATAACTTTAAAGCCAGTTGGAGTTATAGAGGAATAATACACAAATGATGACATTTTTGTTCTTCTTTTATATGGAACACAGAACACCAGGCAGACTAGATGAAAAAGCTGACGAATTAAGATGAAATGTATTTTTTATTTCCTACTCTTAATCTCAAACTGTAAATAACTTTACGTGCAAATTCAACATAGCGGTAGTTATTAAAAAAAAAATCCAGATTTCTATTTCCACTCCATAACTTGATTTCTAAAATGGAAACTCCTCAAGACTTTCCCTCTTCAGATGGAGATGAAAGAGTGGAATTATCCACAGCAGCTCCTCGCAGTAAAATTAGGGAAGGCTCATGCTCTTTGATGACTGAACTGCTACACATTGCATGAAGATGTGCGTAGTCACTGCTGGCTGCCCCAGCTAGGGAAAGTGGCTATAAAAAATATTAGATTGAGAGGTCAAATTTCCTCTCTGAGTGTGGGAAAAGTGGTATGCTCGGCCTAATTATTTTAGCTGCCCATTAAATCAAATAACAGCGACTGAAAGTGTAGCAGGCATTCAATACAGATTGTGTAAACGCATCCAGAGCTGTGTTAAATTAAGGCAGGCAGTGGCACTAGCAGGCAAACTAGTCTGTGGGGGACAAGGTCTTCCCAGGCAGCTCTTCATGTCTGCACATGCGGATGAAACTTCAGAGTCACTTGGATGCCCTTGTCCTCTCGGAGTGTTTGTTCCTGCGCTTCCCCGCTGCCTGGGGGAAGCACATCTGTCTCCTGCTGATTTCCATTTTAACCCGGTCTGGGGTGTCTTTCCAGGAAGATGTCACCTGCTGAGAGAGGCTAACTAGAAATAGCTGAGAGCTTTAGAGTGGCCGCTGCCCTTCCCGCGCTCGCTCCTCATCCACGACTTGTAAACAAGCAGCAGCGCCAGCATCACCGTCTAGCTGCTTTTAGCCTCCTCATCCCTGCCTGCCATTACTGAGAACACTGTTCAAAGTGTAAAAGAATGGAAAAAAAGCACATCGTTATTACCAAGGTAGTCGGCTGTAGGGAGAGATAGAACCCTCTGGGTTTGCATCTTCCAAAAAAAAAAAAAAAAAAAGAGGCAGAAAAATCCCACAGATATATCCTCTGCTCCTCTGCTTCAGGCTATAGAGCTACAGATTCCAAACTTTTTGTCAGATCCTTTTTTACAAAAGCACTGTTTACAGGCAATACTTCCAACATTTCCTATATGGTATATCAGTGATAGTTTTTTTTTTTTTTAACTAATGTATGAAAATGGCAATATGTGGATTGGGAATTAAGTTTCTGTTGATCAAATTTCCTCAATAAAATTTTCACAATAAATAACTCCTTTCTACTGGAACTGGCTTGGATTTTGAGCAGGAAAGCATGTTTTCCACTCACACTTCTTTCCGTTATTAATACCGTTATACAAATGATAGCAGTTAAATTTCCTTCTCAAACTAAAGAGTTTGTGATTTCAGTTCTGACAAAGGCAATATCAGAAAGTAGCCTAGATTTCATTTACCTCTCTTACTGTGCATGTCACCTGCTGTTATGACAGCTGTGCATTATACTGAAAGCATCATTTAGTAATTTTTGAATGATAAACAATT